GAGGAGAATTGCATTCTCTCTCATTCATTTAACACGTAATTATAGTTACTAACAATAAGTAATTAGGTAACCTTTAATGACATAACACTTTGTATATTTACACCAGAGTCCCTGAAATGAAGATTCTGGCCTATAACTAGCTGAGAATATCTGTGTTGAAGAATACTGATAATGACTGCAACTACATAAATCTATGTTAACATCTGGGGACATCACAGTCTTCTTACGTTAAATTTAGTTCCTAAGTGTAAAGAAAATACTAATACCTATGTTGAAGTATGGAACTCTGATTTTCTTGAAGAAATTCAATTCTTATTTATGCTGTTATTTAAAATCTATAAACATTCATCCATCCATCCATCCATCCATCCAATATTTACTGAATGCCTCCCATACACCAAGTGATGTTCTAGTTGCTAGGGATACAACTATAAATAAGACTTAAAAGATCCCTGTCCTCTTGGGATTTACAATAGAATTACTGTGAAGAAAGAGCCATTAAACAAGTAAATAAGCTAACCAAATATCAGATGGTTAAGAGATGCCATGCAAGGAATTAAAATAAGTCATGTGTGCTTCAGACTGTGTGGGAAGAGAACATATAATCTAGCCAACATCTAAATGTCCAGAAGGAACAAGCTATGCAAACAATGTGGGCAAAGAATTCCAAATAGAGAAAACTGCTGCTGTAAAGGCCACTGTGACTGGAATGCAAGGGTTAAGAGGGAATGATGTGAGATGAAGTTGGAGCTATACATACCAGCCAAAGTTAAAATTTTGGATTTTATTCTAAGAAGTAGAAGTTGTTGGAAAATCTTAAGCAGAGGAATGAAAGGTTCATTTATGTTTTTGAAATATCACTGTTCCACTGCTACATATATAACCAAGAAAAATAAAAGCATATACCCCCAAAAAGATTTATACAAAATTCTTCATAGCAGCTTTATACATAACTAAAATATGTGAATAGTCCAGGTGTCCATCAACAAGAAACAAACTGGTATTGTTTGCAAAATGGAATACAATTCAATAACGAGAAACAAATTACTGATTCATGCAACTACACAGATGAATCTTTAAAACACAGAAAGATGTCTTGCACAAAAGCATACATACCAAAATGATTGCATTTAGATGAAGTTCTAGAATAGGCAAAATCATTCTAAAGGTGAAAATAACTGGAAGAATGACTGGGTTGGTGTAGAGGAAGAAGGGTGACAAGGATACAGGTTATATGAAATGTCTATAAAGAGAGACAGTAAATTAATAGTTACCTAGAGCTAAGAAGGGTAGGAGATTGGCTAAGAGATGTGTAGTTCCCACAAGTCTTTGAGAATATTCAAACATGGAATTTTATATTTTAAATGGGTTAACTGTGTAGTATATAAATTATATCTTGATAAAGCCATTTAAAAAAGAAAAGACAAGGCAATTTAAATGGAATACTAGAAAATAATACATTTATCTGGTGTTGTGGCACATACTTATAATCTCAGCACTTAGGAGGGTGAGGCAGGAGAATTGTGAGTTCAAGGGCAGCCTTGGTTATACACAATGAGACCCTATCTCAAAAAAAAAAGTCAATTTGATACAAAAAAGGCAGTAATGGAAAAACAGAAAAGAAAGACAAGATATATTAAGAACAAACAGCAAAATAGCAGACGTTAAAACCTACACTAACTACAGTAAATGTAAATGGATTAAATACTATAATTGAGAACTAGAGATTGTCAGAATGGATTTAAAATACATAATCTAAGTATGTATGATCTATAAGAGATACACTTTAGAGTCAAAGACACAAATGTTTGAAAATAAAAGGATGAGAGAAAAATATATTGTGCTAACAATAACTAAAAGCCAGAGTAGCTACAAAATAGACTTTAAGACAGAAATTGTTAGAGACAAAGGAAGACATTTCATAATGATTCAACACATCATAACAGTTAAAAATATCAAAGATTTTTGAAGGCATCTATATTTCTATTAAAAGAACAGTTTAGCAAACTGGTAAGACCCAGGAATTATTTAGCTGCAGAAATAACAAGATGCTGCATAATACCTAAGATAATTGAAATTTTTCAATAAAACCTCTTAAACACAAATTTATGTATTTTAACAAAACTGAAATACAAGTTTCAGAATGTAGGAAGAAATGGATGTATTTTTCTCCCAGTCACAAAAATTCCAGGATATGTATGCAACACCTGAAGACAGAAACCAACTCAATATGGTGTGTTTTAGGCAAGAAAACGATTTTTAAAACACTACAAGTGAATAAATGCCTATCTAATTGTTTACTGGATAACACATATGTATGTATTCATACACATATGTGTAAGACATGTGTATCACACAGTATTTTTCATTTTAGCAAGAAATTCAGTGTAAGACAGGTCAGCCTTAAACCTTTTCTAGGTGTTTTAGTTCCTAAAACACCAAAATAACATTAAAAATGACTTCAGTCAATTGAACAAAAAAGTGGAAATCATATACACAAATAAAGGGGATATGAATATCTCTCTGGAGAAGCTGCATAACAAAGTGTATGAGAACACTGACTAAAAATCAAGAGTTCCTGGGTTGTTAAGGATTAAATAAATCAACTAATACTTGACACACAGCTAATTCTGTACAATGTTTAACAAAAATCAACTCAATGAATATGAAATGTTTTTTCCTCAATAAAGATTTTTAGACCACTTAACAAGTACCTGCCTCAATCTCCCTTTTACTTTGCCATACAGATAACATCTTGGCTGAGAACTTAGATACTAACAAAAATAAGACTATCATCATACATCTTTTTTAGTTTTTTAATGCTGAACTTTTCAGAATTTCTTTTATTCATGATGTCAGAGATATCTCTGAAATATTCTGGCATCCTATTTGTAGTTCAGTTTTTATTCTGCACAAACAGGTATAGGAAGACCCACCCCTGCCCCATTTCACCATCTTCTCTTAAGCCTCATCAGAAGCAAAGCATTTTTGCTAAATAAAAATCTTGTTGGTTTCGTCAGCCCCTGCCTCGTTTCTCTTCCTTTTGTTTTTCTACCTAAATCCACTGACTTCCCACTTGAAATCTTAGCTCTGTTCCAATCCCTGGAATATATAATAACCTATAGTTTTGAACTCATGCAACTTTCATTGTCCTCAAACAGCAACTTACTCCCTGTTTTAATGACAAAGAGTTCCTGGATTTGAGGCTCCAAGTGTGTGCCTAGTTTTCAGATGGGCTTCATTTTTGGTCTTATGCCAAGTTTTGGCCTAAGTACATTTCAGGTTCACTAGCCTGATCCTCAAATGGAATCACTGCCATCCCTTGGCTTACCCTATATTGTTGCAGCCACCTGACCATGAAAGACCTCCCATGTATTTTTCTAGGTTCCAAATATCAACTGTCTTGGCTATTGCATTGCAGGGTCAGGCTTGCATTTGGAGCACCTTAGATTCCCTATTGCCACACACTTGCAAAGAACACAAGTGATGACTACTATATCCTTTGGATACTATTAAATTTCAACTGTCAAGTCTAACTACCACTATATGGTTATCACTTGGTTTTTACTAATGCCATCTACCATAATAACCAGCCTGTAGAATGAATGCCAAGAAACCAAATTTTGTCCCTATTTATCATCCAATTATTACTGTGCTAATTTCAATTAGTCTTCTTACCAGTTCAAAAACTGATAGACTTTCTTCCATTTGCTTTGTATTTGAAGTCTCCTAAAGATGAGCCCTATATTAAATTAACTCATTTCTTTTCTGTCTCAAGGTGCTCTCCCAAGTCTGTATCTACTCATACCCCCTTCAAAATTTATTTCCTCAAAAATTATTTTTGTTTTTGCAATAACCCTATTATAACAATGAATCCTTTTCTCACACTATTCTACCTTTTTTGGTGATACTTGGATTTGAACTCAGGGCCTTGCCCTTACTGTACAAGCACTTTACCACTTGAGCCACATTCCCAGCCCTCACACCATTATAAGATGTCATTTTACAATGTTTTCATTCAGAGGCTGACTCTAAGACATAAAACTTATTTTAACACACCAGAAATTAATGTTTAAATGATTAGTGTTTTCTCTCAAAATAGTTATGTTGGAGGCTAGTCACTTATTCTAATGATGGCCGAAGCATTTATGGAATTCTCATTATTTTTTACCTCTATTGCTTTATAGTACTTAACAGCACTACCCACTAAACCACCTGTCCTTAATCATCAGCTACAACTTGCTGCTACCAAAAATATTTACCTACAAAAGATGAAAAATTCCTATTCCTGAGGATATTTTTTTAATGGACTCTGAAAATAATCACAAAAGTTTAAAATAAATGTTGGAAAATGCATCATAAAATAAATGAATGGCAACCTTTATGTGACCCAATACAATTCTTCTATCAATAAAATGAAAATAACTACTACCTTCATTATAGGGTTATTGTGGGGGGGGGGAACAGCAAACTATAATATCTCTGAAACCCACAGAGTAAATAATGCAGTATATTCCTACTTATGCTTTATGCTGCATTGATGCAAAACATAATTAAGGCATACTCAAAATTTAAAACTGTATTTAGGATTTTGGCTTAAAAATTAAGTTGATATTTTACAGGAGGTGAAGGATTAAGATTAACTTTCTATTAAAAACATGATTTCTATGTACAGTAAAGTTCTCTTTTTCAAGAAACAGTTCATGGTTTGGAAAGTGAAACCTAACTCACTCATTGAAAAAAAGGAGACAGAGGGAAATTCCATAACTCAGAGCCCACAATAAATAAAAATAATACCTTCGATTTTGCAACATGGGACTTCCCCAAAGAACAGCCAACAGATTTTGCTGATTCAACTATAATGTTATCCAATCAGAGTTAGGGAGGGAAAATGCCTTTATTGATAAATACTGCATAGTAGCCCGATGTTTTGTGAGACACTCATCAACTGGTTAGACAAGCTCTGAGCCTACCACAGAGGAACCTCCAGTCTCAACACCATGAACCGAAGTGCCATTCTTATTTGCTGCCTCATCTTTCTGACACTGAGTGTAACTGAAGGTAAGGAACATCAAGGTATATTTAATTTACAAAATCAGATGTAGGACTGAGAATAAATTCTAAAAATGCAGAAGCAGTATATTTGAAAGTTTCACTGTGTTTCAATGAATGAGATAAGAATGTGCAGAAATTTTCTCTGGTTACAACCATTTTATATATGAATGGTTGAAATCAGGGAAACAAGCAGAATAAAATAAAGAAAGGGGAAGGGAAGAAGGCAACAGAATAAAAGGAGGACCGAGGGAAAAAAAACTGAGGGAAGGAAAAGAGGATTAGATAGATTCTTCCTGAGCTAACTAAGCTTAATTAACAGATCTTATAGTCAACAAGTTGCAATTCCCTTCTTCCAGATAATCAACTATTTAATTACTCAGACATGTGTTACAATGGGTTCCATCCCTCCTCAGATAAGTGACCATGTGACAATATGGAATATGGGCTCTGCTAAAACTACTCAATACACATTAAATGCCTAAAATGAAACCCTGTGCTAACCTCCCCTGCTCTATCCATCTTTTTTTTTCTTAAAGGAATGCCTCTCTCTAGAACTATACGTTGCACCTGCATTGAGATCAGTAATCAACCTGTTAACCCAAGGTCCATTGAAAAACTTGAAATTATTCCTGCAAGTCAATCTTGTACACGTGTTGAGATCATGTGAGTAAAAATCCCATCTGATAATCACTTCCTGGGCTGTAATCATATGTTAAGTATGTGATAATAATTACAAAAGATCAGTTAAGGGTTTGTGTTGACTCTAAAACTAATGAATAGCAAAGAAAAATATCTAGAGTGAAACTTAAATGTCTGACTTTGGAACTGTGTGTTCCATCTCTTTTGTTAGCCCAACATTATTTTAAATATTTTCACTATTTACTTCTACAGTGCCATAATGAAAAAGAATGGGAAAAAGAGATGTCTCAATCCAGAATCCAAGGCCATCAAGAATGTATTGAAAGCCATTAGCAAAGAAAGGTATGTTTGCTATTGCTTTCAGAAAACTGCTGTTTAGGAAATGAAGACCTTGGGAAGTTAGAAACATTTACTACTGGGCTTTGCTATGGAACTCTTGGCTTAAAAGTAGACACCACCATGCCCTTTTCAACCTCCATTTATATATACACTGAAGTGCCATCTTATGTGGTAAACACCTGAAGTTATCCTGACATTATCTGGAAGTTGACAGGTAATAACTTCAACCTTGAAGCAGAGCTGTAACTAAGCAAAACTGCCAAATTTCCCCAAACTTTTTCCTTGCCTAAAAAAAAAAAGCAGCCCTTATAATCCACAATGACTGAGTAGTAGCAGAAAAGCTCACCAAATCTTTTACCTGAAGATCTTTGGGTTATCTATGAACTCAGTATGTTTTAAGCAGAACCTGGACTGAAATGAGACTCTATCACTCAATATACCCCCTTTTCTCTTCCTATAGGTCTAAAAGATCTCCTTAAAACCAGAGAAGCAAATCACTCTACTGCTTATAAGGATGGACCACAAAGAAGCTGCCTCTCCCATTACTTTCCTACACAGAGTATATGTCAAGCCCTAACTGTCCCTGGTTTGCAATTCTCCTAAAAGGTGACCAACAACAGCCACCAAATTAGTTGCTGCTACTCCTGTGAGAAGGTGGATGGTTTATCAAACCTGAACTATTAATAACGCCAGTAATAGAGTTCCAAATTTTATTACTAATAGCTAGTGATAACTCCTCACTGGTACTGTACTACCAAGCTATGCTGAGGTGCATCTTAGAGAATGTGCCAAACCTCGACACTCTCTCACCTCTATGTTCTAAGGGTTACTAAGAGATCTTTTCACTTCTAGATTTATCAGAGTTGTGTGAATCTCAAATAACTAAAATGTATGCAACCAAAGCAATAATACAATTTGCTTTTTTAAGAACAATCTTTCCTCTATAGACTTCTACTGCTATCCTCCCAAGAGACCCATATTCTTTTGGTGGTTATATGCATATAAGTCCAAATACCAACAGGAAGACAGAAATGTCTGGAAATGTATATGTATATATTATTTAATGAAAGATTGTACAAAGTAGAATTCTTAGCTGTATATGGAGCAACTTGTGTAAATAGGTACTACATATTAGTGAGTAATTGGAGTAGTTTTAAAATCTAGACAACAGTTTTTAATGTTATTAAGAAAAAGGTGCTGGATGGTTTTCAAAATAAAAATTATGCACTCTGTTGGAAATATTAAAAAGGAATATCTAAATATTGAGAGACCAGAAAAGATAATAAAGTAATTATAACTAAGAAGAAGTGTGTGTGGGTCATTTGGGGCATTTATTTCATAAGAAGCTTGGATTGGAGAATCAATAGCTTGGATGGACAAATGAGTTGGAGAATTATCATATTCCTTCTAACTCCAGCCTTGTGAAAGGCCTGTAAGATTCCTACATGACTGATGTGTCATAAGAGAACTTGGCCTGAGCCAGAGACACCATACCCTAAGTTTCTATGAGACATTGCTACCTGAATACGCCACAGGAACTTCAAATTCCAAAATCTCTTTTTTTTTTCTTTTTTTGTTGGTACTGGGTTTGAACTCAGGGCCTTACACTTGCTAGGCGGATGCTCTACCACTTGAGCCACTTCTCCGGTCCATCAAAATATCTTAAATTAATTCCCTTCTCTCCTAGATCTGTTTTTTCTTCTCCATTTTATGTCCTAGTTTAATTATACCATCATTCACTCAGTTCCCCAAATCACAAACCAGGAGTGATTCCATACTGCAAGTCCCTCACCAACACATCCAATTAGTTACTAAGAAGATACTGCAGGACAATCGGTTGGCAAAGTTTTAGTGCCTAAAATATATAAAGAATTCTCATGGATAAAAAAGGAAAAGAGACAACCAGCTGAAAAGTGGGAGTAAGAAGTTCACAGAAGAAAAGGGCACAAACCCTTAATGTGAAAAAATGCTCAGCCTTATTTGAAATCAAGGAAATGTACATTAAAATCATTACAGAATACCACTTCACACCATCAGACTGGCAAAAACTTTTAAGTGAGGTAACACCAATGGTTAGCAAAGATGCAGAGCAATGAGGAATGCTCCTCCACAGTTGGTGAAAGAAAAAATAGTTATGACTACTTTGACAAACAGTTTGACATTAAAATTGAACATGAACATACTTTATGTCCCAGCAATTCTACTGCTGTGTCTATACCACAGATAAATTCTTTTGTCTATGGTATAAGACAAGTATAAGAATACTATATAGCAGCATGCAGCGCTGGACATGGTGACTGATGCATATGCTATTTGAACTTCAAAGCCATTAAGTTAGAGAGACCCCCATCTCAACCAATAGCTGGTATAGTGGTACACACTTGTCATCCCAGCTATATGGGAAGCATAATTAGGAGAATCATGGTCCAGGCCAGCCCAGGCTAAATTTCAGACCCTATTTTAAAAATAACGAAAGCAAAAACGGTTGGGGGCATGGATCAAGAGACAGAGTACCTGCCAAGGCAGCATGAGGCCCTGAGTTCAAATCCTAACTGTCCCCTCAAAAAAGAATGCTATATAGCAGCACTGTTAAAAAAAAAAAAAGTAAAAATCTGAAAAGATTCCCATAAGGGGATAGTTGAGGTATGTTTATTTAATGAAATATATATGAGTGAAAATAAAGTACAACTATACACATCAGTATGAATGAATCTCAAAAACAATCTTGTGCAAAAGAAGTATGTCACTCACCTGGTGTGGTGGCATAAGCCTGTGATCCCAGGCTTATTTGGAAGGGTGGGCAGGAGGTTCAGAAATTCAAGGCCAGCTTGGGTAACTTAGTGAGACTGTCTCAAAAAAAAAAAAAAAAACAAAGGGAGGAGGTGTAGGTCAGTGCTACAACACTGGATTCAATCCTCAGGTTCAAAAAAGAGGAAGCAGCAACAGCCGGATGTCACAGTAGAGTACATGCAATGTGCTTTATAAGCACTTACAAGCTTTATAAGTTTTTTGGGTTTTCTTTTCTTTTTTTTTTTTTGGTGGTACTGGGGTTTGAACTCAGGGCCTCATGCTTGCTAACCAGGATCTCTACCACTTGAGTCACACCCCCATCCTCCTATAAGTTTTCAACCAGGCAAATGTAACATTTCATTAAGGAGTAAAGACAGATATAGTGGAAAAAAAAAAAAAAACAAAGGTAGGGTTCAAGATGGCATGTACTTCTAAGGAGTGAAGAAAATGGAATCAAGAAGAAGCAAAGAGGCTTCTGGCCTGGTAAAGTTCTATTTTTAACCCAGACAGTGGGCAGATGACAGTTTGTGCTTTCATCTGTATCTCCATATTCTTTTTCTTTTCCTTTCCTTACATTTCTTCCTCTTTCTTCCTTTCTTTTTTCTTTCTTTCTTATTTTCTCCCTTTCTTTCTAACATATGCTCTACTTTATACTAAAAAGGCAAAACAAATTAGCAAAGAAATGAAAGAACTGGGCTGGTGAAGTAGTTCAAACAGTAAGAGCATCTGTCTAGCAAGAATAATGCCTTAAGTTCAAACCCCAGTGCCAAAAAAAGAAAGAATGAATCCCCCAAAAAATGACCAGTTGTGAGATGTCTTTGTGAAATAAATAACTTCAATAGCTAAATGGAAGAATAAGAGAATTACCACATTTTGGTAATTGAGAGATGATTTAAAGTATACAGGAGGATGTATGTATGTTAAATGTACATGCTACATCATTTTATATAAAGGACTTGAGCACTGTAGACTTTTGTATCCATTGGAGTCCTGGAACCAATTCCTTGCACATACCAAGAAATGACTGTGTAAGAATAATAGATTATGTTGTAGTATCTCAAAGTATTAAAGACCTAATGCAATGACAGCTTATTTCCTGCTCATATGAAGTTCCATATACTTTGATGAGGCTTCTCTTCAACTCAGAAATACAGTCTCCCTCTATCTCAACCAAAGGTTGCCATGACAGAGAAAAGATGGAAGTGAAATACCTGGTTCTAAAAGCTGCAGTCCACATTTTACCTGTCCACCATAAATCACACTGCACTATTTAATTGCAATTAGGGGTAGAAACTTTAGAGAAAATGTACTCATTTCTGCCACAAATAGAATGTTTAAATGTGATTTTTAACAATTATAAGCCAGAAAATAGGACTTATGCAGAAACCTAACTTAGAGAAGTCTTGACAGATACGTTAAAAAAAAAAAAAACCCACAAAACTTTACTACCTTAGGGAACTTAGATCAGAAGTAAAAAAGAATCCCTTTCTTGGGTAGAAAATTCCCATGTTTGATGCAAATAAAATGTGATGTACATAATGAACAAATAGCTGCATCTACTATAGTATGGTCACATTAGAACAATTTTTTTCTAGGGAAATATATGGACCATAGTCACCAAAATGTTGCATCTGATCTAAAAAAAATTGCCTCCCATAAAAAGGGAGACCTGGAAAATGAAAAATGATTATAATCTTGTCTCTTTAAGTTCCTTTGTCAGATCATACTTCGTCAATCACTGCTCCATATTTGGAACTTGATAACTAGCTAACACTGTTCTCCCTTCATTAAGGGACTGGCTTACAATGTCAAAAGAGCAGTTAAGTAAATGACAAATGGCTACTCTGTTGATTCTGAACAAATCATTAAGCCTGACTAATCTATAAAAAATAAACAGAGGGGCTGGGCCTGTAGCTCAGTAGTAGAGTGACTGCCTAGCATGTATAAGGTGCTGGATTTGATCCCCAGCAGCACATATGCATGCTGAAAGCAACACATCTACACACACACACACACACGCACACACGCACACACACAAGCAGAAAGAGCAATCATCCAGAAATGTTTCTAAGAGAAACAACTACCAAGAGCTCAATAAGGGCTAGGGGCATAGCTCAAGTGGTAGAGCTTATTGGCTAGTTGCCTAATATACATAGGTCCTGGGTTTAATTCTCAATACTGGAAAGAAAAACTATATTAAAGAAATCTTGACTATATTAGCATTTGGGGACTGATGAAGGCTGTTTGAAGTCAAATGATTTTGAAATCCTTAAGACATTAGTCCTGGGAAATAAGATTATAGAAGATTTATTTCTTTTTGTTTTTATTTTCCAAATCTTCTACAAAGAACTTTGCTGCTTTTAATTGGAAGGAAAAAAGTTCAAGCAAATGAAAATGATTTTTCAAAGACACTAAATTACAAGTTTTAGTCTGAAAGGACTAGGATTTATCTTTTTAGTGACCTCCACAAAATTACTTATCTCTCAGAAAGATATGACCTGAAAAGCAGTCATATACATACTAGAGTTTCTTACTCCATGCTAAGCTAAAACTTAGTGGCTTGTATTAAAATTCAATGAGCTACTAGTACACATACTTCAGGTCACTGGAATAACAGCGTGCTCACTATTACTAGTTTCCTTACTTACCCTCTTGCCTGACACCATTTATTCACCATCTATTCAATAGC